TATATGAATTGTTGAATGTGAAACTGATGATGTGCCCTGTAAACTTTCACTCAATCCACAATAAAAACCTTAAATTAAAAAAAAAAACAACAACAACTTAGGAATATATAATAATTTAAACAACCAAAAAGCACATTCTGCAAGCTTGCCTCCTGGCTCCCAGCACTCAATCTTTCTCTTTCCGTGAGTCTGGAGTCCTCAGCTGCTCCCTCTTTCCATGTCCTCATATCTGCTGTCACTGCTTCTCTGGATAGGGTTGCACATTCTGCTTGTGCTCCTCACCCTTGATGGTCTTAGGGCCCTCTGTTCCTAGACTGTAAGATTAACTACTCCCCGCTTTTTGTTGCAGAACTTCTACCTTTACAGTGTGACAGTCGCAATTAGTCATGATAACAATTTCTCACTATTGAATCTTAATAATCTTATCCTCATATCTTTTCACCAGACCCATCTAGACAAGATGAAAACTATTCAGTTGGGGACTGTATTATAGGTAGCTTTTTGTTTTAAATATATTTCGTGCAAACAATACATCTTTGTCAGTTATTTCTCATTTTTTTGATTAGTATTAATTTACCTAGGAATCTCAAACTCCTAAAATAATCTATTGGTGAGTTAAAAAAAACAAAAAAAAATATGAACTGCATTGCATTTAAAAGATACTCTAATGAATATTGGGACTTCTGGTGTGGCGCTGCCGGTTAATGCGATAAACTGCAAAGTTGGTTTGGGCCATTAAGGCCAGCAGTTCCAATCACCATTTGCTCCTCAGAAACCCTATACAGAGTCACTATGAGTTGGATCCCGACTGGCTCTTAGCAACAACAAAATGAATATTAAATTTTTTCCTCTTATTTTTAGTACTCCAGATAATGTTTTATCTGGATATATGATTATCTTTGCATGAATGTATTATTACAAATACAAATATCTAATATTTTACATTCTTCTCTCCCCCTTATGCTCTACAGATATTCCCTTATGTTGAAATAGATAGCATAGTTATAATCCTTATTATCTCTAGAATAACTGAATATTATCAAATTGATGTGTAGTTTGAGGCCATTTGTCTTTTGTTTGACAATTAAGTTTTCTCTAACTTTTTGCAATTTTAAAAAGAGTAGTGACATCATCGTATCTGTTACCTTTTTTCTTGTGACTTATTTCCTTGGGCAGTTATTCTCCTGGATGGGATACCAAAGTCAGCAGATATCGCTGGTTTCCTAGCTTCTTTGTTTCAGTGATTCCCTAATCCTTTTTTTCTCTGTATTCTAGGTACAGGAGCTCCACGAGGAGGAGGCCCAGTGGGTGAACTATGATGAGGATGAATTGTGTGTGAAGATGCAGCTAGCTGATGGGATCTTTGAGACCTTGATCAGAGATACTATTGATGTTCTCAATCAGATCAGTGAAAAACAGGGGAGAATGCTACTTGTGTGACACCTTGCAAATAAATCGAACACTGAGTGCTAATTATGAGTCCTGGGCCTTTCTGCCTCCTGATACACGCCCCATCTCCATCACAGCAAGAGTGCCTCCGGACCTTGTACCTGTTCCTAAAGACTGCTGGTTTGGAGTTCATGGGACAGTGTGGTATACCTGGTATTGCAGCCTTTGCCTTTAGAGACTGTCCACTGGATTCATTGGTTATTTTCAGTGGACAGGGTTGCACTCCTGATGTTGACACCCAGTACAGTTCTGCACCTCTTGTTGTTAACATCCCTGTTAAGTCTCAGATGAGGGCTGAAAACACCAGACTTACCTCTTAGCTTAGACTAAGGTATCACGTCTGCGAGTCTGAAGTCAGGCAAGAGAGCTATATAGATATATGCATCATATTGTTTTTTTGAAATGTATTGCTGGCCATGAAAGTTGTAAGTGGACATTATAGTCTTGAAACAGTATTAAGCCCACAACCACTTATAAAAAGGCAAGTTTGATAACGTGCCTGTGTCACATTCTCTAGTTCATTTCATTTCTTTTTAACCATTTTCTTCCATTGTAGTTTAGCAACACCAAATGGACTGTCAAGTTAACTGAAATAAGTAATAACCTTGCTTTCTGAGCACCATCTAAAAAATGTTAAATCATTGCATTATTTTTAATTCATCTGGGCATGCAAACAAAGAAATGCCCCACTGAAGACTGGGGTTAAAGGACTGATACTGTGCTGGTTCTTCCACCCTCATTGTTGTACCCTTGCACTTTTCTTACTCCTTCTGAACCTCTGCCAGCTGCTCCCAGAATCACAAGATACTCAGGACCATCTCAGGCACCCAGGCATGGCAAAAGTGGAGATCATTCATTTTGGCCTTCAAACCTTCAACTCCCATCTCTACCCAAGAAATCAGAGACGCTGTTACTTGAATGATTTAGGGAATGAGTGTGTGCACCAAAGACAAAACTATATCGTCCATTGTTTATGTGCTTGTTTTGTGCTATGGAACTTTTTTTTTTAATTTATTTGAAGATAAATTATTGAGTTGAAAATGTGTGTCCCTATTCAGAAGTGAATAATTCTTGTAATAGTTCAAACTTCTGTCTTGAAGCTTCTGTGGTTCATAGTCTTTGCACAGGAAATCTATGGTTTGAACAAACCCATACACATATCGAAGAAGTCAGTTTAATTCAGTGAAGAGAACATGAGCTTTTTAAGACCACCTGCAGGAGCTGGAATAGGATCAAATGGTTTAAAGACACTGTACAACTTAATCCCACCTCTCCTGCAGCATTGATTCTCACAACTAGTACCTATATCTGAACAAATACACAGACTCCAGCTGCTACAGGAGAGCAGACGTGATGCTCTCCTGGGATCTCAGTGTCCTGCCTTCTTGACTGGTTTTTCTCAGTCAGTCCTGTCCCTCTTCAAGTAATCTAGAAGAATACGGATCTTCTTAGGCGTGAATGTAAATGCCTTAATAGTGAAGGCCCTGATTAGAAGCATGATATAAGACATCCACTGGATTCCTATTTTCAAATATCCTGGAATGTTATCGCTTCAGAATATGTTAGAAAAACCCCAAAGATGGTATAATCTTTTAAGTGTGCATGTTTGTTCATTTCTGCATCTTTCCTCTAAACTTGCCTTTGAGTCTCAAATTTTTTTACTATGCACACTTCCATTTCTCTTAGTTTCATCTTGTCATTTTGAGAAACTTACTGAAGTCATCATTGGAATATTTGCATTTTGCACAGTAACTGGTGTGATAGCTCTTGACAAATGAGGAAAGCACTGAAATCTGTTGGGTCCAGGGGGATGCTCACGTCAGTGGATTCCCAGCATCTCTTTGGGCTTCTGATGTTGATCTGTAGTCCTGGAGCCATAAAGAGCAAATGGACTAAGGAAGCAAGCATCTCTAGGGGTTATTAACCAGTAGTGTGGAACTATTCTTCTTATGTGGCAGTTTGTGTTATTTGGAAGACAGAAGACATCTTGTCTCCGTCCTTTGGCTGTTTGTAGGATCATATTGTCCTTATGATGTTGAAACTTTACAGCTGCTGTAAACTTTTTATAAACAAATATGAAAATACTATAATAGGAATATAGATTCTTTTTCTACACCCTCATTATTTGGACCTAAAATCAATTTTTAATATAAAAGTGTTTGTTTATTCTTTATGACATTATAATCCCAGGAAAGGGAAAAACAATGATATAAACCTGCAATCTGGACTTAAAGTCCCTGGTAAGAAATGTTGCCAAGAATGCCGCAGGAGCAGCCCTAACATGCCCCAGCTGTCTTTACTATCTTAAGGATCCTGGGTTCCAGATGAGAGGTAGGAGTAGACCAGTCTTAATGCCTTGCTGGAAATGATTATCCATAGTTTCATAGCAAAAAAAAAAAGTCCAAGGATTCTATAATTACCAGATTTCTTCTTACTTTTAACTATCTTGGATATAATTATAAATGGATTTGTTGTTAAAAGTTAGGAGGGATAAATCAGATACCCAGCCACTCGTTCCTTCTTGGGATCTTTTTAATAAAGTTCTGCCTCCTGACCAAGAATCTAAATATTCCCTCTTTCTAGTCTCTATTCTCTCCATTCTCTTTCACTCTTTTGTCATGATTCCTCTCAGAAAAAGGTCTTTACATCAGCAGTAATATCTTTTAGAATAGCACCATCAGAATTTAGTAGTCAACCAACATCTAGGCTTCAGAGCTATTTCTGAGTCCAAAATAATTTGTGCTATCCAGGGCCCCTAACTCGGGGTTAAATAAGTACAGGGTATAGAGTCCCTTTTCAGGTCTAAACAGGAATTTTTACTCTCGGGAAAAATGGAAAGAGCTCAAAAGTAGTTAATAGGGAAGGTAATTTATTTTTCTTTTGCCAAAAAGAAAAGAAAATTCCTTCTTTGACTACAGGTCTCTGAGAAATTATTCTTTTAAAATATTTCATTGCTCATGAGAGTGTTGTGGCCTATTGATAAAAATAAAAAATTTTGTTCACTTTCTTGTCTTGAAAAAAAAGTGGCCTTAGCTTTTTGCAATACTTGAATAAAGTGTGTACTTGCAAAAGAATTTCTGTAGCACAGCATTAGAGACTCATAACTTTTCTGCAAGAAGTTCAAACTTAACTTCCTTTACTACCTTAAGAATACTAGTGAATAAAACATTAATTCAAAAAAGCAAATGATAGAAACTACAATGATGTTTAATGCAAATTGTAGGAATTTACATGTTTACAAATCATCTTAAACTGGTTGTGCAGCAATTCAATAAAATATCTTTGTATTATAAAAATGTGAAGAAATAAAAATGTTAACTGACGTAAAGGAGGTACTGTCATTTTAATTAACCTATGTTTAATAGCTTTCCCTTCTGGACTTTGCAAAAGCCTTCTTGGTAAAACACATTGCAAAGCATTCTCGGGAGGCTCAGCCTCCTTGTGTGTACTGTATTGTGCAGACATGAAAAATAAACCCGTTTACTGTGTGTGTGTAAATAGCCTGGTCATCAGGCCATTGTCAGCCAATAGTCACATCCAGTGCAACTTTGCACAGAAGACTTAGGGTGTGGTTTGTAAGTATGATCTGTAAAATAACTGGGATGAATCCCCATGTATACCTGTGTAAATAGATTTGTTAACTGAAATGTACTTTAAGAAAAAAGAAAATCTGTAAATAAACTGATTTATAAATTACTTTCATGTCAGGTGTTTATTCCCCGTATTTTCAAAAGCTAGCACCCCTGGAAATGTCCTGGTTTCTGATTTCTGATGTGGATGCAGGGTACTTGAGCAGTCGTCTAGAGTGAGGTTTGTGAGAGCTGCATGTACTTGAAGCCATCTGTGTGCATGCCTCGGAGCCACCTGGGCCTTGGCAGGGTCATCATCCAGTCAGCAGGCAGCCACTGAGTAGCTACCACCTTCATGTGCTGATGGCTGGGGAGACTGCAGGAAGGACAGGCCTAGTTTCTGGCCTCATCTTAAAATCTGAATAGAGTCATTTAAGAATCACTTCTAGAATAGAGCATGATGATTTTAACAAGTGCTGCAAAGGAATCAGACACAAGGTTTTGGGGTAGCTAATAGGAGGACCAGTGGGGCAGGGTGAGTTCTCGGATAAATTCTCACTCTGCTCTGCATTATTGGCTTCCTGCCTGTAATTCATGTCTAATGTCATTTCTCCCAAATAACATGAACTCTGACATCCTGATTATAAATCACCCACGTTTGGAAAAGTCACACAATTAAATGGGCCACAAAGAAGAGTAGCCATCTGGTGACTAGGTGTGGAGCTATAATTTATTTCTAGAAATAGGGACTAGGAGAAGAATGGAGTTAGAGGTACAGAATAAAATAATTCCGAGGATGGAAATGTATCGTGCTCAGGACCAACAAATTAGAAGAAGCCACCATCATTTCACCTGAATTGCTTCAAGTTATGGAAAGGCATGGCAGAACCTTAAAATGCATGTTGCTAAGCAAAAGAAGTCAACGTGAAGAAGCTTTGTACCCTACGATTCTAACTACAGGCATTCCTAGTTTTACTACAGTTCCGTTTTGTAACATGCTGCAGATAATGGGCTTTTTACAAATGGATCAAGCAAGTCGATTGGCACCATTTTCCAACCGCATGTGCTCACTTTGTGTCTCTGTATCACATTTTGGTAATTCTCATAATATATCAAACTTTTTCATAATGCTATTGAGCACTCAGACTATGTTGTTGTTAAGAGCCATTGCCTCAGCTCTGATTCATAGCAACCGTATATCGGGTTTCCTAGGAGTGGCTGGTGGGTTTAAACCTTTCAGTTGAAACCGACCTTGAAGTCCGGTGCTTATCCTACAGTGCCATACCAACAGACAACACTACTGTAAACATAACTTTTTTGTGTAACTCGCTTTATTGCAATCTTTGCCTCATAATGGTCTGAAACCGAGCCTGCAATCTCTCTTGAGATTTGCCTGTATATAACATTCTGGAAAAGGCAGAA